AATAAATCATGTGCATTCTACTTATAAAACATTATTAACTTTCATATTGCAAACTAATCCAAAATTGAGGGAGTTTTCTATAGGAGATAGAATTTTAGAGTGTTTGGATGGTATTATGTTAAAGTCTATACATATACCAAAGTGGAATTTTGAAAGTATTTTCCTATTTTATAAGAACTCTGAAAAGTGAAACTTATAATTAAAAAAATAAATACAGTAGTATAGTATACTAAAGATGTGTTGTGCTTATAAAAGACTCAGATGTTTACAGAACAATTGCCTTTTGCATCTTGGATTGTGGCTAATTGAGTGACCCATTGCAGCTTGCCATCACTGACTATCATTTTATACTATAAGGTGTGGATCCAGAGTTGTATGAGTTAACAACATCTAAGCTGGAAATCTCCACCTCAAGCCTCAAAGTGACTGATGCATTTGCAAGACTCATGTCCACAGTTGAGAAGACAAGCACATCTACCAGGTAAGCAGTTAGTGTTTACCCTAACTTTGAATTCTGTGTTTAAACAGCCCAAATGGGAAAGCATTTCAGAGTATTGTGTTAAGATTCACTTTATGTTTGTAAAAACTAATAATGCCTAATTCCATAAAATGGTGTCAGATGTTTAAAATTGAACTATATTAGAGCAGTCTATTTCATGAGAAACTAGAAAGGACTAATAGATGTGGATTTTTCTTTCCTCCCACCCCCAACTTTGTGGATAAGAATTCTGGTTAAGTATTAAGATCATAAAGCCACTGTAGAAAGAGTCCCTCTTACCCTTCATAACTTCCTGAAATCTTTGGGAACCCAGTCTCACACTCCTAGAGTCATTGTTTTATTTTCTGAATTCTTACATGTGCAGCACCTCTCTTACTGAGGTTTCTGGGACCCCCTTCAGGGACATGGCCTAGAAAAGTAGTTATCTCTCGGTGTCAGAACCAGATACAAGGAATGTTACTTGGGCCTTGTGTTTAGGATTCAGGAAACCTTTAGTTTTACATGGTTAAGCACTGGAATAAGCCATTGCTTTGACATGTTAGCCATAGGCGTAACCCGGTTCGTAATAGGAAGCTAATCACTACTGCAAGAGCAAATATTGGTTGATTAGCATACAAACTCTGCTGTCCCACATCCATGATACATCAACACTTTAAAATGTTTAAGCATTCAGTCTACAGAGATTTATTATTAAATTATGAAAATTATTTATAATTATGAAAATCCATTATTTGTCTTGTAATTATAATTATGGATTAACTTCCCTGAAATGGATTTGTAGCATACACATGCTTATTTGTCCACAGATTCTCTCCATTGCTCTCATTACCCCTATTTCTTCATAGTAAGGCTACCTGACACTGTTAAAACCTACTATTAAGTCAACCTACTTGTAAATTAAGCCAATGCGAGTGTTTTACTTGCTTTCTAACTTTTTCTATTCCCAAATAAATCATATTTTCAAATTGAAATTCTTCTCATTCAAGTTTCTTCATTTTTTCTATATGTGTTAACCAAAACCTAATGCACGCTTAACTTAAAAAAACACACACAAAAAAACTGATGTTTTTATTGTTTGGGCTTTACCCAGCTATTTTTCGGACAGTCTTTTCTAAGGACAATCATACTATTTCCATTCCTTTTTTCCTCTGCAGTCTCACTGAACAAACTATTTATAGTAGAGTTATGGACGGCCCAATGATGAGAATTCATTCTTTGCGCCATTAGGAGGAGCTCTAAACCACATTAACTCTCCTAACTTTTTAGTTCATCCTTGAAACATGCTGTATGTACACTAGGGAACTTTTCCAACTCCTCTATCACTTTAAGAGGTTATTTTGATGTTTTCCCTTATTCTATACTATTATGGAATGAACTAAAACTATAGTGTGTATCCTACTGACCATCAGTGTTGTGGTTGCATTGAATTACTCTTTACTACCTGATCAGCTTTATATTTAAACACAATAAATTGAAAACAAGCTGCCAACTTTGTATTTTCTATTTTGAGGAATTAGTTGTTTGAAAATGGTGAGAAGTACAAATATTCACAAGTCTTACAATTTGAAGGTAATACTATAAAATTGTCCGCATAAGTACTTCTCAATTGTACAGAGAAGAAAAAGGGGGTGACATATATGGCTCCAGAAAGCATTTTAGGTGTCTTGTTGTTTTTCTTTTGTTTCTGTCATTTTTGTGTTTGTTTTTGAGTAAACTATAGAATGTAAAGCTCAGCAAAATCTTCTTGGCTCTTGATAGTATATAGAAGATAGAGCAGAAGAGCATTGAGGGACTGTAGGGTAAGAAACGGTTAAGAAATAGTGGTCTAGGTAGAGGAATTTTACATGTAACAAGCAAGATCCCATCCTTTCTAAGTGCTTTGCATGTGTGAGAGAAAGCACATGTTTTATTTTCTTGTTTACCTTTACTAATAGAGAGAAAAATAATTTCTTAATTTTGGCCAGCTAGTTAGTAGCCACAGATCTCTAACTAAAGTTTATACAAGCCAAAGGACTAATTGTCAAAAGGGATACATCTTTTTTTTTCTTACCTTTTAATTGAGATAAAATTCATCCTTCTCAAGTGTACAATTCAGTGGTTTTCAGTATATTCATGAGGTTACACAACCATCACCACTATCTAATTCCCTAACATTTTTATCACTCCTAAAAGAAACCCTATACTCATTAGCCACTTTTCCCAGCCCCTGGCCACCACTAAAGTGCTTTCTCCCTTTGCATTTGCCTATTCTGGCTATCCTATATAGTAAAAGCCTAATATACTAAGTGACTGGTCAGCCTTTCAACCAATCAAAGTGTAATATGCTAATGATATGCTAAGGCCGCTCAACTGCTCGCTATGATGTGCACTGACCACCAGGGGGCAGATGCTCTGACCCAGTAGGTTAGCTTGCTGCTGGGGTCCGGCTGATCGGGACTGAGCGAGACAGGCCAGACATGCCCTGGAGCCCTCCCACGGCCAACCTGCCACATCCAACCTCGTCCCCAGCTGGCCAACCTCCCGCATCCCTCCCTGCCCCAATCATGCACTAGTGGGGTCCCTGCACCCTCTTGCAATCTGGGACCCCTCAGGGGATGTCGAAAAGCTGGTTTTGGCCCGATTCCATGAATCGTGCATCAGGCCTCTAGTTTCATATAAATGGAATCATACAATATGCAGCCTTTTGTGCCTGGCTTCTTTCACTTAGCATAATGTTTTCAAGTTCAGCCATGTTGTTGCATATATCAGTACTTTGTGTTCTTTTGTGGCTGCATAATATCCCATTTTGTGGATATACCACATTTTGCTATTGCATTAATAAATAGCTGGACATTTGGATTGTTTTTACTTTTTTACAGTTATGAGTAATGCTACTGCATTTATTATGAGTTTTTGTGTAGACAAATGTTTTCTGTTTTCTTGGGAGTGGAACTGCTGGGTCAAATGGTAACTCTCTGTTTAACTTTTTGAGTAACTGCCAAACTGTTTTTCCAAAGTAGTGGCATTATTTTACATTCCCACTGATAATGTATAAGAGTTCCCATTTCTCCACATTCTCACCAAGGCTTGTTTTTGTCTGACTTTTTGATTATAGTCATCCCGGTCAGTATGAAGTGGTAGCTCATTGTCATTTTGATTTGCATTTCCCTGGTGGCTAATGACGTAAAGATTTTCAGGTGCTTATTGACCATTTGTATCTCTTTAGAGAAATGTCTATTCACAAACTTTCCCAATATTTTAATTGGGTAATTTGTCATTATTATTATGAGAGGCCCAGTGCACGAAATTCGTGCACTGGGGGGGGGTTCCTCAGCCCAGCCTACCCCCTCTCACAGTCCAGGAGCCCTCAGGGGATATCCTACTGATGGCTTAGGAGCGGGCATAAGCCACAGTCTGGCCTCCCTCTGCGGGTGGCAACTGGGCTGATCAGGGGAAGGTGCCACCCCCATCACCCCACTGCTGCTGCCACTGCCGGCTGCTGCCGCCGCCAAGGTGTTTTCATCAACACGGACTGTCCCTTCTTCACCACGAAAAAATGACAACTTTCTTTAGGCATTTTCAAGATGTCTCTTTCATAGGATATGACATTTCTTTTTTTTTTTTATCCTCATATGAGGATATTTTCCCATTGATTTTTAGAGAGCATGGAAGAGAGAGGGAAAGACAGAGAGAAACATCAATGTGAGAGGCACACTTCGATTGGTTGCCTCCTGCATGGTCCCTGCCCTGGGCCCTGGCCAGGGAGGAGCCTAGGTACATGCCCTTGATCAGAATCAAACCCGGCCCCCCTGCGGGTTTGTGTCTCCACTCCGGGCTCCCCCCCGCGGGTTGTTCTCTCTGGGGCCGGGCGTGGGCCACCCTGTCTGTTGTTCTCTCAGGCTCTGGGCCCATGCCAGGCCCCTCCTCCTGAGCTGGTCGTGACTGTTATGGCGTCCTGGCCTAATTTGCATATTGCCCATATATATATATGAATTCTTTACATGTTCTGGGTACTGGGCCTTTATCAGGTATATGTTTTGCAAATATTTTGTCATTCTGCAGGTTGTTTTTTCACATTCTTGATAGTGTCCTGTGAAACATGAAAGTTTCTTAATTTTCTCAACAAAAGGGAAACTTTATCGAGGTCCCAGGGCCACAGGGTACAGGCAGGGAGACCACTCTGTGGGCCAAGAAGATGGTGGAGGGGCCTTATTTACTCTTCTCCTTGGAGCATAAGTTGTTGGTGTGGCCACACTTTTTGCAGCATTTGACAGCATGGTGGGTGCGGGCAGGGGTATTGGCATACGTAACACTTGTGGCAGATCATCTCACCGCAGTTGTACTTCTGGGCAAGCTGGTGGAGGGAGGGCTCCTTGATGCCACCCCGCAGATGAAGTACCAAGTACAGGGTGGACTCTCTGAATATTGTAGTCTGAGAGAGTGGGGCCATCTCCAGCTATTTGCCACAAAAAAATCAGACACTGCTGGTCAGGCGGGATGCCCTCCTTTTCTTGCATTTTAGCGTTGACATTCTCAGTGGTATCACTGGGCTCGACCTCAAGGGTGCTGGTCTTGCCAGTCAGGGTCTTCACAAAGATCTGCATCTCTGCGTCTGCTGGGGAGGCTGCTTGGCCACCTCATTGAAGAGAATTAACAAAAGTCTCTTAGTTTTTATGAATACAATTTATCTTTTGTTGCTTGTGCTTTAGGTGTCCTATCTAAGAAACCAATGCCTACTTCAAGGTCAGGAACATTCTAGGTTTTCTTCTAAGAAGTTTTATAGTTTCAACTCTTACATTTAGCTCTTTGATTCATTTTGAGTTAATTTTTTAATATGATGTGAGATAGGAGTCCAACTTTGTTCTTTTGCCTGTGGATATCCGGTTGTACAAGCACTGTTTGTTAAAAAGACTGTTCTTTCCCCTCATCCCCATAGAATGGTCTTGGCACCCTTGTTGAAAATCAATTTGCCATAAATGTATAGGTTTATTTCTGGACTCTTAATTGTATTTCCTTGACAAAAAGGATAAATCTTAACTGGAGACACTATAAATGAAAATTAGGTCACTGCCTTTGATTTGAGAAACGGTCATGATATAACTTTTTATTTTCAAATTCTCCACAAGCATGTTCTTCCTTATATTTTAAGAAAACTAGATCACATCAATGTGCAGTGACTACAGATAAATGCACAAAGAAAACTTTTTCTTATTTTTAAATACAGCTTCATATTGCCTCCAAGTAGTGCCTCTGAAATAAGGCAATTTGTAGAAACACTAGAATAATGTTTACCAAGTATTCCTTGGGTAGAAGGTTCTTCCTTTCCCATACCCCAATTGTACTCCACAAATGAGGAAGTCCATTGAGGTACAATTTTGTTACTGTTGTTAGTAACCTTTTATCATTGCAAAGCAGTAGGATATGTTGTAGAAAGTTAGAAAATACAAGCCAACAAAAAATTTAAATTACCACATTCTTACCACTCAGATCACTATAACTTCTTAGAGCAAATTCTTTCAGATTTTTTCTATGTAAATATGCACATACTTGTGTTATTTTAATCAAAAATGAGATTTTTATAGTCCATACTGAATTAAATCTACTCTTGCAATCAGTGATCTCCATCTGTCAATTTCAAAAAAACTTTCATTTCATCTAATACTCAGGCTATATTCAAATTTCTCTGACAATGTCCTTTCTCTCTGCTTTGTCCAAACCAATATTCAATCTAATGCTATTGTACCTAGCTATTATGGCTCTTAAGTCCCTTTTAACCCAGCATAGCTACCCTTGATTCCTTTTGCTTTTCATTTTATAACATTAGCTTGTTAAAATGATCAATCTAGTTATGCCCAAGTACATCCCAACCTCTGGATTTGTCTGTGTCCTAGTAGTATTTAATATGTTCCTTGATTCCCCTTCTTTACTGTAAACTGGAAATTATATCTGGAGGTTTGATGAAGACAGGTAAACCTTTGCCTAGAATGCATCATAGGTGTTGTGTCACATCAGAAGACACATAACGTCTGAGTGACTCCATCGTTGGTGATGCTAAGATTGACTATTAGTGAGAGGCTAACCTTTTCCATTTTATACTTTGTTTTTTCACTTTTAAACTAAAAAAAGAACAATCTGCTTTTACTTCAGAATTATGCAGGTATTGGTTCCCCATTAAACATCCACCTAATAGTTTTGTCACCATTTAAGTACAATGAAATGTAGATTTTTATCAGAAAAAATTCTGCTGAGAAACCCTAGAACTCAGTTCAGTATTGGTTGATCTGCTGATAGTTTCAATGTGCCTAAAGGTGACCCTTGCGTCCCATTGAACAACTTTAACTTTGGTCCTAAAAGTCTGACGTTTGATTTGATTTCAGCCTGAATTTAAAAATGGTAACAATAGAAAAATGTAGGAATAAAATAAAGGTCTGCATCTCTTTCTTGCATTATCTCCTGACTTTCTGCTGCCCATCCCTAGAACAAAGAAAATATGTATAGTAGGTGGCAGGAATAACTTGTGTCACACCTAATAGAGTACCAACTATCCTTTATCATAAAAGAGGTCAGGCTTTTTAGAGTAAATGATTTTAAATGAACTTTGGTTTAACATCAATATTTTTATCACTATAACTATTCTTTCAATATATTTAATTTCCTGGAAAAAAAATAAAGGTTGGATTACAATCATGTGCTCAATTTGTGCCACATTTGAGGTTTTGTTGGCATTTTCTGTGGCTCACCTGCTGGGAAGACATGCGTCACCCAGAGTTCTTCATATATGTGGTAGGCACCAAACTGCACATTTCTAGCACCTGGGGCCATTGTAGTAAAATGTATTTCATCTAGAGAACGCACAGGATTTCAAGATTTCCCCTGTTCCCAACCCCTCCTGCCTATGTACATCCTTAGTGTCAGCAGCCGGCACTGGTGCTGCTGCATTTGGACCCTCTGCCTGCATCCCATTGGGGCTGAGGCCCGGTGTTTGTGAACTGAGGGCTTTCTCTCCTGGAATTCCCCTTCAGGGATGAAGAGCGCCTAAGGTTAAAATGACTTACAAGGTCTTGTGCCAAACATGTTTTGTTTTATGCTGAGGTAGTTTTGGTAGTTTCACTGGGAGCAGGGGGAAATCCAGTTGGGCGAAGTGTTATTAGGGTTTCTGGATTATATTTCTGCTTAGTAGCATTCTGAAAATATTCCTGGGTAGGTGCTCCTAGCCTTAAAAGTAAAGCTGTGAGCTATACACGGTACATGTGAATATCCGTATGTACATGCCCAGCTATGATGAACATACGTAAGTAAGGCATGCAACTTCATAAGAGACTTGGCATCTGGCATAGGAAGCACACAACACAAGAGTGTCATGAGGTTCAGGAACCAGCAGAGATAAAGGTGCTCAAGTCCACGTAGATTGCTAACTGACCACCGTGAGAGTGGGTGTTCCCCCATTTGGCCCACAGCAGTCACATTAACACACTTCCTTTTTTGCATTTGTCAATAGGAAACCGAAAAGAGAAGAGCACCTGAGTGAAGAAGCCATCAAGGTGATCGCTGGCCTTCCTGACTTAACGTTCATGCATGCCAAGGTGTTGATGTTCCCAGCCACGTTAACACCTTCCACGAGCTCCCAGGAGAAAGCAGACTGATAGCAGATAGGAAGTGGACAGTTTCAATGGCTTTTCCTTCTCTCCATCCCTCCCCTACCATCAAAAGCATACCTGCTGTAATTAAAAAAAATTCACGTTCAGCTGATTTGTTGGTAAGCCACACTAGAAAGGTATACATAGTAATGTATATTTATTTACATACTGAAGTCCTAAATTTATATTAGAAAAAATGTAAATAATCGGGGGTGAACATTTTTGAAGATTTATTCTTTTTGTGTTGCTGGGGTGTATACATTTATGTCTTTGTGAAATACACTGGTGGTGTCCTTCTTACAAAACTTTTGAAATAAAAAAAAAAGAAAATTAAAAACTCAAATCTCCACTGTCTGTGAAATCCCCTTCAGTCTTTTCAGATTGTATTGAATGTCCTATTAATTTTTCATATCATATGTTGAATTACTTTTACTATCATATATAAGCTCCAAAGTCATTGTTAAATTTGTGTGTGTGTGTGTGTGTGTGTGTGTGTGTGTGTGTGTGTGTGTGTGTGGTGGATTTGTTTTAGATCTGGCTTTTGTTAAAATTGTTGTGCTCTTTTTTAATCTTTTCAATCTGGCATATTGCTGTTTTACCTTTTGCAAGGTACTTCATCGATTGCTCCTTTGTTAAGGGTATGGATCATTGTCAGAACTTGATTGCAGGGGTTTAAAGAGATTGTGTGTCTGTTTTAAATCAGTTTGGTTTGGAGAAGGACCAAATTATATGAATGTCTTACCATGAAATTTACTTGTTACTGATTTTTTTTCGTTCTATCATACCACTATTTTTTGAGGATTTTGCACAGTGTAAATGACATAATCATAGATTGCTATGGTTTAGGCTGTATATACAGTAAAAACTATGGGTTTTAAATGTTTGGGGAAATTCCTATGGAAAAAAAAAGAGAGAGATGTAGAAAGAAGAACCTCTAACAAGGGTAATGTGCATGCCCAAGGTCTTTGGAGATTTCAGTGTGTAAATTTCCTTTTAGCTTACACAAAAATAAAATAATTTAAAAGAAATTAGCCTGGTGTCTTTGTCCTTTGGTATCTGGGGAAAATGTAATAAGTTTGGATGTGAAGTGTTACTCTGTGTTAATGTACTTCAGTTCAGAGGAAACCATTTGGTAGGGCTTCCACTTTGTTGAAACCAGGAAGAATTCAAATCTGGCCCATAAGAACTGGATCAGTCATTTTAGTAGCTGGGCTGTTTTTTATGTAGAACACGAGATCATAAAAGAAATTCCCATGATTCATTATGATGTATCTTCATCCGAATTGGCAAGGTGAAGGAAAAATTTGTAGGGAATTTTTTTATTTCCAAGAAAATATAGGCATGAAATTAAGGTGAGCAGAAAATTTCTATAAAGTGATTGTAAAATATTATTAAATATTGCTTCCCCCAAAACTCACATGACACATTTCATTAGAAATAGGCAGTCAGCAGCCCCAAAGCCCAGCCCCTCACATCTGCTATAGAATGCCTCAGTGGAACCCCTCTGCACCTCCATCAGTGACAGAGATTCCTGTGTTGCCAGGTTATTACACAGGCCATTGGGACAGTTGCCTGAGTGTCGTTTAAATACGGCCTGGAGTGACCATGCTTATCTCCCAGTCACTTCCCCAACTTTTTTTTCCTTTTAGAGAAGGCTTTTCCTCAGAATAATCACAAGTCTTCAGTGCCCCGTGATCTTCTGAATGGAAGAATAAGATACTCTGAGCAGAACTTCGCATGTAAAAGGTTGCTTCTACAGTACATTGCAAAACTCAATTGTAATGGCAGCCTTCGCCAACCTAAGTTTAGAGCCTTAGCTGTGTTATCCTGAGGAAGTTAATCAACTCTGAGCCCTAATTATCTTTTAAAATGGAATGACACCACCAACCTGTGAGGTTGATGTATTAAATAATAAATGTAAAACACTTGTAGCATGAGTAGATAGTCAATAAATGATAGAGTCAGCA